TTGTTGCTGTTACTGCAACTGTTTTATGGGCAAGGACACCAAGGTTTAGAGAATGAAGTAAGCTGCTCAAAATCTCACTTCTAGTTAGTGGCAAAGGCAGAATGTGAACTCAGGCAACTGATTCTAAACCAGATTTTTGTGCTACTGTGCTGCTGTTTTGTCTGATTTTTTTCCACTGTCGTCTTCAAAAGGTGTCACGATTCATGCTTATTTCTTTATTTTCACAAATGCATTGCTTGTCTGTTCATACATTATATTGCTTAGAAACACACCAAGCCTTCTTCTCCTGTAGTCTCTATCCTAAAAACTTCTGTCTTTATCTGCATATGCAGTTAAACAAGTATTTTTTAGTGCATTTGTAAATTGTTTGAGTAAAGCACTTAAATTGATGAAAGTCAGTTGTAAGGGTGAGAATATACTTGTCTTAAGAACTTCAGTGTTTGAACGCCCCTTATTCTCAGCCTTATATTTGATATAGGTATTTTCATTTGCTATAAAGATATATCAGATGTATACAGCTATATTAAGCCTTGATAGAGAAACTAACTTATTTATAAATTGGCCTGTTCCTATCAGTTGTCAGGCAGATGCCCTCTAAATTCAGAGAATAGTCTGATTGTGAGCCAGAAATCAACAGAGTTAATTTGGGGGTTATATTTTTAAATAATTTCACAGAATTTAAGGATAGAGAGTACAAAAATGCCAATTACATTGTCACGTTGATTTTGATACAATTTTTTGTACCAAATAACTTAAAAACTACTCCCAAACTTAAACTGATTTTTCTATGAGCTTTGAGATAATTTTTAATTCAGTAAACTATTGATTGTAAAAATAGTCCATAGTTTTAAGTAAGTTGTATCTTGTTTTTCAAATTCTATAATTGCTTTTTTACAGATTACACTTAAATTGTCACTTATATACAAGATAATTGCTTAAATTGATTTGTGAAATAGATGTAATGTATCTGGAGAGCTATGTTACGAGGTTATTATTTACTGTATTTGTATATTGAGCCAAAAAGAGTATTAAGAAAGTTGTAATCTTGGATATAGAACAGGTGATGTTATTGGAACAATGACTTAATCCATTTTTCTGATTATGAAATAATAGCATAGTTGATGGGAACTCCCTATTATAATAGTGACAAAAATATTAAAGCTAGTTTCACGGAAAGTGTGTTGTTATCCTGCGTTAGAATTTCTGAAAGGTTGCATATTCGTGTTTTTCCTGGCACCTGCTGTGTCCCCTGCTTTGGCTGCTAACGCAGTCAAGACGTCTTCATTAGACTGAAAACAGAACATGACTTTGTTGCTCAAGGAATCATTTAATCATAGATGTTTCATTTTTTTGCATTTTTCTTGTAGCTATTATGCCATGATTAACCTGCTAAAACTGGTGAGAGGTTATGCAGGTCATTGAGAACTTTGCTTCTAGATCTGAAAAGCCATTTTTAATATAGGAGGCGGAAAAAAAAAAGACTTGGGCTTTGTATAGTTAGATTTTTAGTGAATGAAGGATTTATAATTGGTGAATTATAGATTAATCAAAAATAAGTGATAACATACCTCTTATTTATATCAGCATAATTATAAATGTAAAAAATAATAAATGAAGAGGTAGGTAGCTAATAAGTAGACTTATTTAATAACATAAGTAGATTGCATTTAGAAATCTTATGAATTTAGTGTTTTGTTTGAATGATTTCTGATTTAAAAAAAAGTAAATATTAACAATAGCTCAATTGAAAAAATGGACAGAAGACCCAAATAGACATTTCTCTAAAGAAGGCATACAGATGGCCAACAGACACATGAAAAGATGCTTAACATCACTAATTATTAGAGAAATGCAAATCAAAACTACAATGAAGTATCACCTCACATCAGTCAGAATGGCCATCATTAAAAAGTCTACAAATAATAAATGCTGAGAGGATATGGAGAAAAGGGAATCCTCCTATTGATGGAAATGTAATTTGGTGCAGCCATTATGGAGAACAGTATGGAGATTCCTTAAAAAACTAAAAATAGAGTTACCATATGGTCCAGCAGTCCCACTCCTGGGCATCGATCTGTAGAAAACTCTTAATTCAAAAAGATACGTGCAACCCAGTGTTCATAGCAGCAGCGTTTACAACAGCCAAGACATGGAAACAACCTAAATATCCATCGGCAGATGACTGGGTAAAGAAGTTGTGGTATCTATATATAGTGGAAATTACTCAGCCATAAAAAAGAATGCAGTAATGCCATTTGCAGCAACATGGATGGACCTAGAAATTATCATACTCAGTGAAGTAAGTCAGACAGAGAAAGACAAATATCATATATCGCTTACATGTGGAATCTTAAAAAATACAAATGAACTTATTTGCAAAACAGAAATAGATTCACAGACATAAAAAACAAATTTATGGTTACCGAAGGGGAAAGAGGATTGGGAGAGGGATAAATTAGGAGTTTGGGATTCACAGATACACCCTATTATATATAGAATAGTTAAAAAACAAAGATCTGCCATATAGAACAGCGAACAAATTCATTGTCTTGTGATAACCTATAACCTATAACAGAAAACAATCTGAAAAAGAATATATATGTATATATATAACTGAATCACTTGGCTTAAAAAAAGTAAATGTTGTACTCAGAAAGCTGAGAAACAAGTTAAGTAGGAAGTGTTTTTCTTCTTCTTTGAAAAGAATAATTTTAAAGTTGCATTTTAAACAACTGTCCTCTGTCCCTCCTGTAATTGTCTTCCAGTCTGTTTCTAAGAAGGCAGTAGAAATGTTGAGAATTAATGAGCTCTGTCCTTTGTTAATCAGTTTTACTTATTTCAGGTTCCAGTTGTTGCCTTGACTGCTACAGCAAGTTCTTCAATCCGAGAAGACATTGTACGTTGCTTAAAACTGAAGGATCCTCAGATTACCTGTACTGGTTTTGATCGACCAAACTTGTATTTAGAAGTTGGGCGAAAAACAGGAAACATCCTTCAGGATCTGAAGCAATTTCTTGTCCAGAAGACAAGGTGAGGATTTCATGGTTGATAAATTTTGCTAACTATTTTCTTTTTTTTTAAATATACATTTTATTTTATTTTTTATTATTTACTTGTGATGTATATTTAACATGTTTCACAGTCTACTTAGCTTTGGTTCAAGTCAAGTGTGTTGTAATCAAGGCAGTGACTGAGGATATAGGCTAGTTTTGAAGGTAGAAACTAATTCTCACTTTTTTGCACTGCATACTGTTATTTCAAGAGGATGTACACTTTTAATAACTGACAAATAAACAACAGAAAGAAGTGAGTCTTTTATCTGAACCCTGTCTAGTTCACCAATTACGTGACTAACTTGAGTTTTAGGGAATTTAAAAAGTCCATGTTAATAATAAGTAGTTTTGATCCTATATTATGTGCCAAGGACTATGCGAGGCGCTTTATGTAAATGGTCTAGTTTAGTGCTTACAGCTGCTCAGTAAGCTGTGTGTTATTTTCACTTTACTGATGAAGAGACTGTCGCTAGCACTTCTTCCTGTTCATTTTGTTTGAGAGCATTTTATATGTACACCAAGAAAGCTTCCCTTAGTCTTAGTTCCTGATCTGTCTGCTCAGTGAAAAGCTTATAATTTGCATGTTATGAAATGTGTTTTTAAGTCAGAATACATGGAAATAATGTTTATCCTACCAATACAAACACAAAACAGATCTAGGTAAATAGAGTTTAAAGAACATCATTAGTGTTTCCCTTTTCAGAAAGGGATAAAAAGAAGATGGATCCTAGGTTAAGGAAACCCTATGGTAACTCTTGGGGTCCTTTCGCGTGAATTTAAATGTAGAATTCACTGTTCGCTTGATTGTCCTGTATTCAGATTAAAGCAAGAATGTAATGAATGTATTCTGAGTATTGTGGCTGCTCTAGTGAGCTCTCAGAAGTGAACACTCACTGTACTTCACTTTCTTTCTGTCCTAAAGGGAAAGTGTTCTCTTGAAGAATGCTGTTTATTGTAGCCTAGAGTCTCCACAATCAGATCATTTTCCTAATCTTGGTCCTTTTCTGTCTATCTTATTCTCAATCTCTATGTCACTTTCCCCTAAGAAGCCTCTCCTTTTTGAAACTGTGTTTACTTATTTTGTCCCTGATGTTGTGACACTGTGATTATATTGTCCTCTTAGAATGTCTTGTGTAAATGCTTTCTTCTCACCATCTTTGATTTGAATTCTGCTCATTGAGGCCTTTATTACTTTTTACCCCAGCCTCTTACAACATCTCCTTACAGACCTGCCTACCCCTCAGGCCTCCTTTGCTGCAGTCTATACAATTTTCAGACTTTCCATGTGAAAGCACATCCCAGAGTCTTGGTGTTTCTTTCCTGTGGCTCCCTCTTTCCTGTGGACTAAAGGCCGCACTCCTTATGCTAACTTCCAAGGCCATCCAAGATTTTGATATGTAATGTGACAATGGTGTTTCTAAAAGCAAATCACGGAAGATTTTGTACCCATTTTTAATCTTCCAGCAAGAATTATGGTAGCCGGGAACCACTGAAAGTCAGAATGCTTTCTGTAGCTATTGGGCAAATAGAAATTTTCCTCCTAATGAGCAATGGGATAGGGGGTAAATTAAGACTACAGAGTAGTGCCTTTTATTTTCATTTTCTTCCTTTCAGTTAATTCTTTCATTTGTTTGTCAGTATTCACATTTTTTCCTATTCATTGTGCTAACATGTTTCTTAAACTCTGACCTTATTTGCTTTCTGTATGCATGATGCGTGTAAGTTAGATAAGCTTCTCTCACCTAATTTATGGTTAAATGAAGATAGATTCTTTTCTCCCCCTCAAAAAACTGTCGTGAAGAAATAACAGTCTTCAGTAAACCAGTTGGCAAGTAATGAATCTTTGTAATAGGAATTTTTACCCCTTTATTTTTCTGCCCTATAAGTTCGAATTTTTGTATTTTCTACTTTCTTTTAATGTGAAAAGTGGTACATAATGCTTGTATCAGTTTGAACAATACAGATGCATATAAGCTGAAGGGTATTTAGATCTTCCAGTCCCATTCTTCAGTTATTACTGTTGATATTTTTGCATTTAGCTTTTTATAGACCTCTGTTCTCTGAGTCTGTACTGTGCAAATAGGTGCTCCTAGTTTTTATTTTTTTTCCATTGTTGTGGTTGTTAAGTTGCTACAGAAATGGTTTCATAGTATATGCATTTTTTCCTGCGATCTTCTTCTTTCATTTAAAGTATCTCTGCTGTCTTTCCATATATTATGTTTTCTTAAGTTAGGCCTTAATGTATAGTATGTTACAATATTTACATTTTAGTGAACAATTTTTCCTTCTTTGAAAAATGTTTTTTAAATGAGTTTCTTATACACTTAAAAGATAATTTGTATTTTTTTCACTCCTTGGAGTTATCTACTATGAATTTTTGATATGGAAACTGGTTACTATAAAAAATTTCTTTGAGTAGATTATTCAGTAATACTTTTGGCATGAAATCACTGCCTTATTTTTCCCCTCTAAGTTTTCAGTGACTTTTACCATAGTTCTTCTTAAAAGTTTTATAACATTTACTTTTAAAATATTTGTTTCATGTCTCATAATATGACTGTACATAATGATGAACATTTGGATTATTTTTTACTATTACAATTTTGCTGTGAATGTTTGTGTATAAATATCTTCTAGCAGATTGCGAGTATATTTGTAAAATAGATAAGAAATTCTATCAAAGGTTATATGTTTTAAAAATTAAATGAAATAACTCTTCCTAAATTTAAATAGTACATTCTTTTTGTATCAATTAGGTAAACATAAATCAATGTATTTAGATAAGTGAATATATTGAGAAATTAAATATTCTTATGGAAATCATCATTTACACTTTTAATAAGTAAGCACAGGTTTCTAAAACAGACCTTCTAGCATATTGTTTTTTTTTTAAACAATAGTAGTCACAAGATTACTAGTAAATAGTTCTTTGAACTATAGAAATGGTCTTTTGATATTCCATGAATGTTCTTGCTTTTTTAGTAAACAACTCAATTTTAGGATCATAAGAGGGATTAAAAGTAATGTAATATAAATTTTATCCCTTCTATGTAAACATTCACTTACATTTCTTACATAAATGAAGACTAATTGTTAATCTAGTACTTTGTATTTCCCAAAGTACGGAAATTGCATTTCCATTAGTTTAGAATATTTTAGCAAGGCTTCTGCTTAAATAAATAAACTTGGCTCTGGTTTTAACTTTAATGTGAACAGAAAAATGGAAGTCAAAGGTGTTTGGGGTTTAACATAATTTATTTCCACATTTGACTTACCAAAATGTTTTAGAGTTTTGCGTAGTTAAATATATTATTGGTTTTTATATGCTTTCTCTTTTTAGTTTTTTACTGAAAGGAAAATTAAATTAAAATTTAAAAATTAAATTGAAATTAAATAAAAAATTTAAAAAGAAGGGAAAATTAAATAAAATGCAAACTGGTCTGAAACCTGTATTTATACACACACATATACATATATGTATGTTTATTCTTTTGCTGTTCTTTGTCTTTAGTTCTGCCTGGGAATTTGAAGGTCCAACTATCATCTATTGTCATTCCAGAAAAATGACAGAACAAGTTACAGCTGAACTTAAGACATTGAAATTAGCCTGTGGAGCGTACCATGCAGGACTGAGTATTAATTTAAGGAAACAAGTTCATCATAAGTTCATGAGAGATGAAATTCAGGTCTGAAGACTGATCATCATTACTAGCTCTTCCAAACATAGCGGAAACAGATATTTCTCTAATACTTATTGAGGAATAACTTTTAAAAAAGAAAAATGAAATTAGAAAATTGGAATTATTATTAGATTGCTTACTTATTCCTATATTTATGTATTTACTCCTAATATATTTACCCCCAAATACAGTGAAACTGCCTAGTTTTATTTACTCAAAGCTTTTCTTAATATTATTTCCATTCCTATATTTATTTTTCTTTCATCATTCTCATACTCCCTTTTGTTTGTTCAGGTTTCTTTTTTCTACTCTTGGTCCATACTAACACAGTTTTTTTTTAATGGCATTTTAATATTTATCAGTTTTACACTCACATAGTTTAATGAGCTGAATTGCTCTCCAGTGCTTACGATGAAAAGCATCAGCCTCTTATTCCTCCCCTGCCGCTGTTTCCTACTCCCAGCTCTTTTAGCTTATTCTTTTGGTGTTTGCCACTGTATCTTGCAGTACTGCTTAGTTTTTAAAATTTATTTATTAAGTTTTGGCATTCTCTCTCTATTTCCCACTATGAAAGATGAAAGTATATATCTCTTTCATATCCCTTCCTGCCTCACCCCATCCAAAAGTTTCTACCCCCCTTTCTCCCAATGTATTAACATTGTATTTTTGGTTAGATCAATGTATTTCTATTCAAAAACTGTATTTTATTTAATTATTTCTCTATAAGCACTTTTCATCTCTAAGTCATGTAGTACATTATAATTACTTTTCATGTACATCTTTTCATATTCTTATTGTCAATCCTTCTTTAAAAATTTGTTTAGTTTTTTTGTACTTACTGCTAATTCTTCCCTAAAATTTCCCCCATTCATGTAAATCTCATCCTGGTAAACTTATTCATATTAGATATTCTACCAACTTTATCCTTCTAAAGATGCAGAGATAAATTCATGTTTCATTCTACCATCTTTAAAGAGAAGCTTCCTTCCATCTCAGAATAATGCTAGAAAATATTAAGGTACTGTGCAGTCTTGAAACTTCATAATAACTCAAAGGCTCATTTAATGTAATAAATATTTTAAGAACCTCTTTTGTATCTGGTACTTATAGGTGTTCAGAGAAACTCTTTATTTGCTACTTTTTTAAAGAGGAACAGAAATCCTGTTTTATGGTCACCAATCCTTAATCTATAAATTGGGCAGATAATCTATTAATCTATAAGTGATTGGTTGAAATTATATTAAATTCAGTTTCATGCCAGGGACCTTAGTTATGAAGTAATTATTCTTACCAGAAGGTACATATGTAAGGTTTTACTTCTGCTAAACGTTTGTCAAACTGTGTGGTTATTTATTCTCAGTGTGTCATAGCTACCATAGCTTTTGGAATGGGCATTAATAAAGCTGATGTTCGCAAAGTCATTCATTATGGCGCTCCTAAGGAAATGGAATCATATTACCAGGAGATTGGTAGAGCTGGCCGTGATGGGCTTCAGAGTTCTTGTCACGTACTCTGGACTCCAGCAGACATTAAATTAAATAGGTAAGAGCATGTCTTTCACCCGTGCAGATTTCTTTCTTTCCATATAAGCTTCCAAAGTATTTGAGGCAACATCCAAAAGTTAAAGTAATAGGTATAAGTGCATTTAAAACAAAATAAAACAGAAGGGCATCTAAGAAGGACATTTGTGGTGTGTTGCCGCCCAGAGGAGATGAGCTGATTCCATCCATACCTCATTCAGTGTGGGGAATGAACTAATCAGGATGATACCCGGAATGTAAGGTCTGTCTTTTGAGACACTTTTCTAATATTGTTATCCATGAGCTGTTTTTCCTCCTTAGGTTCCCTCAAGTTTCGATGTCTTCAGCCATAGTTACGTCAGATACCATTTATTTTGTTACTGTTTTTTTCTTCCTCTGCTACCATCGGGCTTATTCCAGGGGACTTCTACCCATCTAATTTTGACTCTCTTTACCATTTCTGTCTCCTTTGTTAGTTTTATATTGTGACTTTGCAGGTTCATCAATAGGTATGGTTCCTGTTTATCTGGGACTTAAAAGGTATATTAAATGATTATCTCATTAAGATTTAACAGGGAGTAACAGTGATTAATAGTCAAACAGTGATGGTAAAAAACCCTTACTGAATCTTTAGTACAGACAGGTTGTTCTCTGCATCCATGCTAAGGGAAATAAAACTAGGGATAATCAGCACAGAAAAGAATTCATCAAGGACTGAGGATGGATCTTTGTTGTCCTTGTGACAGACTTCTATTAGAAAAAACAAAGTTTAAGAATAAATGGAGTAGTTGATTTTCAACTGAAAAGCTCACTGTGAGTCAAGAAATTTTTAGTCTGTTGTATGCTAGAATCCTGTGACTGAGAGAAGAAACTTGTCCAGTCATCAGTGTAAACGTGCAATTTTGTATTTTTTATTGCAGAAGCCATACCATTGGCAAAGTCTTATTGTCATTATTTAAAACAGTCAAACCCAATAGTTACTGTAATCTTTGTTTAAAGGGAATAATTTGCAGATTAATTTCAGTTTAATGGATTTTTCCACTGGCTGCAACTGATTTCTACTTATGGTATTTTTAAAATATTTCTTCCTTTTCAACTTGTTTTATTTTGTGAAATATTGTACTTTAACTATTTTAATAGTCCCCCCAAAAGAATAAATATTCATTTCATTTGGTCTTAGAGACTTGTAATTTTCTTTTCTCCAATTTGTTACTGGAACTGATGAGCTTAGTTAAATGTAGGTCATCTGAACCAAATATGAGAGAGTAGCCAGTTCTCATTTATTTCCTTTGTTCTTTCTTTCTGAGAAGAAGGAGGTGAGCTAAACAAACAAAACAAAACAAAAAAAGGAATGATTTGTAGCCCACCAGCTAGGAATAATGAGATTGGGTGGTGAAACTGGGAAGGAACTAGAGTCAGTAATTGGAAGAGACTTTTTTAGGGAAATTACATGGAAGGGCATGGTGGTTGGTGGTGTCAAATGATAAAAACATTGTTGAATAAGAGATCATTTGTGTGTCCAGACTTTGTGTCATCCTTGAATTGTACAGAGGTGTTTTTTTTTAATCAGTCAGAAGGTTGTATAGTCAAAATATCAGTGAGTGAGGTCCATTTTGATGAGGATCAGTATCATCACGTAGGTCTCATAGGTAAATTATTGTTTTCTTTCAAAATATGTGAAACCCATTCAGCTCAAGACCTCATTTATTCTTGGAAAGATGTGCAGAGCTGTTTGGGAGATCGTCATCATCTGATATCTGATAGTCATGGAGTTTCTTCAGAGTAAACTGAGTCAAGATGAGATATAGCAGCATTCACTTTTTAAAACAACAACGACAACAACAAAAAAACACGTCTTGAGTGTTATTTGACAAGTTTATATAAATTCAGTATTATGGGGAAAATGGCTAAAATTGTTTGAGGAAGGAACTTAATTCTGCTACTTTACTCATGGCCTATAATACAAAGAGGTAGTTTTAGAGGGCTGAGAAGTTCTCTGAAGATCTAAAGCGATAAAGGATCGTATTTGGATCTTGAGTCTTTTTCAGTATTCTTTGTATAGATGCTTTTAGTTTCTCATATTAAAATAAATTAAAATAAACAATAACCTTTTATTGGGAAAAGATGAAAATCCATGCATAATAGATTGCCAAAAAAGCAAGTAGCATATAAATCAAAATGAAAAACTTCAGGGTTTATAGCAGCTAGAAAATTGATGCTTGGACATAGGTAGAATTCTTTCAAAAGTAATCTTCATAAAGATCAGAAAAATGCTTGCCTCTTGTTGGGGGCCATTGACTGGGAATGTACACAATAACTTTCTGGGATGATAGAGATGTTTCTTTGTCTTTTAGAGGAATGGATGTTATAGGTTATGAAAAATAAATAGT